TTTGTTCGTTAATCAATATTGACTTATGCAGTTTTCAGCTAAATGTATATTACCTTTACACTCACGTGTTGTATATCTTTTATGTAATTATCAGATATTCTCCGCTCTTCTGTACAATATGAAATCGATAATAATACAGAGCAATTCAATTAACAATTAAAAACCAATTGTTCAGAGAACAATTGAAGGTCTTTCCACATCAATGTTCTAAATTATTGATGAGAAGCTACATCCAGTTTACTCAAAATTACTATTGGCGTCCAAGCTTTGGTTTCTTCATACTGAGTCAATTTATATATGGTTTCTATATACTTTTGCCTGAAATAAGGGAGATAATTGCCAACTTCCGGTTTAGAAAATGTCACTTCCGGTCTCAAATGATAGCTTTATTTATACTGATTCCAAAAATATATGGTTCATATATACTTTTGCATGTAAAAAGGGAGATAATTAGCTACTTCCGGTTTAGAAAATGTCACTTCCGGTCTCATATGATAGCTTTATTCACACTGATTCCAAAAATATATAGTTTGTATATACTTATGCCTGTAATAAGGAAGATAATATGCTACTTCCGGTTTATAAAATGTTACTTCCGGTCTCAAAAGATAGGTTAACCTATGGTCATTCAAAAATATATAGTTTCTAGGTACTTTTCCATGAAATAAGTGCAAAAAATACTACTTCCGGTTCACTCAAGGTCACTTCCGGTTGACATTTTTCAAGGTCATAGGTCAACCAACAGTTTGCAAAAGACCCTATGGCTTTATCATGTAACAAGTTGGAGTAATAATCAATTAACCTTAACTTGAATCATTTCAGGGACAATAACTCCTATAAGATGTCATTGGATTGTTTCAGACCAAATGTATCATATCTTAATCACAATTAGGCAAACATTTTGCACTTATTCTTTAATTTGTATCTTTAAAAGTGACAGAGGAGATCAAATAACAAGGAAAAGTCAAAATTTAGAATATGACCTTGACCTTTGACCTTGGCCTCAATTTCATTTAAATGGACCAAGGAACTCAAATCAATATACCTTAGGTCTCTATCCCTTACCATTCATGCTATACATTTATATATCCCTTATGTCAAATACAGAAGGGGAAATAACTCTCATATGGAGTTTAGTACCGCCTCGGTCAAAATTGGACAAAACTTCCTGAGGATATAACGAGCAATTTAGTAAAATAAATTTGTCGCTTTCTTTTACGGTTACGGAGGAGATGCAGTAACAAGGAAAACAGTGTTCGGGGAGATAACTCCTACAAAGAAAATTGTTCGGCTTAGAATGGGTGAAAATAAAAAGCGCATAAACTGTATGATATTATATAAGAAATATCTAAGCGACATCTTGCGAAACAAAAATTTTACGTGAGAACAAAATTAGGCGGAAGAAAAAAATAATAATAATAATAATATTAATAATAATTAAAATGTCAATTGTTCTTGAACAATTGAGAGGTCTTTCCTTTTCGTAATGTAAAATACATGTTCCAATAGGGGTAGAATACATTAAAAAGCTCTTAAACACACATAAAGCCGTTAAAATATGACAAAAAAAACAACAAAGTGGCTATTTGGGACATGACCTAGACTTTTGACCTTGTGACCTTTGTGAAGGTCATTGGTCCACGATGTCATTGCAAAAGACCCCATGAGTCTAGGACCTTTGGTTTAAGAGTTAAAGCTAATTTTGTCTTTTCAGAAACAGTTAACGGGGGTTATACCCCTTAAGGATAGGTCGAATCTCTTTGGTCCAAATATAAAAAAGTTGCGCCTTAGTCACCTAAACATTTTTCACTATTTACTATTTTTGTAAGTATAATCGTTTTTGAGATATCGAATATAAAGTTGTAAGGTCAAAGGTCAAGGTCAACCTTAAAAAGCTTGAAAACACACTAAAAATTCTTTATATAAGGTTAAAAACACTTATTCGCTACCTTGACCTTTGACCTTGTGACCTTTGTCAAGGTCATTGGTCTCATGTCATTGCTGAAGACCCTAGGGGTCTAGGACCTTTGGTTCAATAGTTAAGCTAATTTTGTCTTTTCAGAAAGCATTAACGGGGGTTATGCCCCTTAATTATATGTCAAATCAATTCGGTCATAATGTAAAAAAAGTTGTGCCTTAGTCACCTAAACATTTTTCACTATTTACTATTTCTGTAAGTATAATCGTTTTTGAGATATCCAATAAAATGTTGTAAGGTCAAAGGTCAAGGTCAACCTTAAAAAGCTTTTAAACACACTAAAAATCCTTTAAATAAAGTCAAAAACACATAATTCGCTATCTGGGACATGACCTTGACCTTTGACCTTGTGACCTTTGTCAAGGTCGTTGTTCCCAAATGTCATTGTTGAAGACCCCATGGGTCTTGGACCTTTGGTTTAACAGTAAAAGCTGGTTTTGTCTTTTTAGAAACATAAACTAGGAGTTATGCCCTTATAGAAAGGTCAAATCTTTTCGGTCAAAATGTAACGAAGTTGCGACTTAATGACCCACACATTTCCCACTATTCAAAACTTCTGTAAGTATAATGGTTTCTGAGATTATCCCATAACAAGGTGTTAGGTCAAAGGTCAAGGTCAACATACAAATTTGACCTTGAGATATTTTTCAGAGTCACATCAATTGATGATGGTTGGTGAAGATCCTAGGTGTCTACGACTTACGGTTTCTGTGTTTTGGGGGCCAACCGACTGCGGTTAATTTTCAAAGGGCATAACCCTACCAATGAGTCGTTGAATCTTTTCAATCCAAATGTAACGAAGAACCGGGGTCTGGTCCTGAACAAATTTCACCCTTCGGTTTTTTTCTACCTATTACGGTTACGGTGTTTAATTGATAACAAGGTTTTTAGGTTTCGGAGGGATTACTCCGAACCGACAAAATTTTTCAACTCACAGGGTGAGTTCCGGATAGGTATTCATGACACCGATACATAGTGTGAACATGAAAGCGACATGTCTTACGGTTAAGGCTGCTAACTTCGTCAAAGTTTGGCGGAAAAAGAATAATAATAATAATAAACAGAAGAAATACAGTAAGGTCTTTCCCTTTTGAAAAAGGAAAGACCTTAATAATAATAATCAGAACAAATACAATAGGTCTTTCCACAGAAAAGTGGAAAGACCTAATAATTATGTGACGACTACTAAACTTTATCTTTCGTTCTAAATTTTCTTATTTGTATTGATATTACTTTCATAAAAGCTTTGATATTTTCTCAACAGCACTTTTGAAAGTGTTTCTTTTTAGATTTTATTAATAACTTTTTATTCTGAGTGTTAATTCCATATTAAAATCTATGTTTAGTTATCGTTATCATACTATGATAATTGATTTAATTTGAATACCAAATAGTATATACCAGTATGAACGGGAAGGGATTAAATTATGGTGGTTTGATGTTTTATAGAAGAAAACTCCGTCACAAGAGACGGCGTCACAGGAGCATATGATACACAATAAAATTGCGACATAGCTCACAATATAGGCGTTTTATTTTTGAATTGTACATTATCATAATTATCATAAATAAGACTTTGTTTATTAAAATTTTAACTTAAATAAGCATCTTTTCTTCCCTTTGGATAAACTTTGTCAAACTTAGATGATTGTGTGACAATGTGTATTTCTCATATTTTATAATACTTTTATAGAATATGCTTTATTACATATTAATATTTGATATTTGAATAAAATTATATTTTAAAGTTATTTGATTGATACAGTTCTCTTTTGTTTAAAAAGAATATATTTTATTCATCTACTTGACAAAGTATTGATTTTGTCTTCAGGCTATGATTGATCTTTATAGTACATGTATTGTAATATTTAACTATACATTGGATTTAGGAATTTTCCAGAGGTGTTATGGTCAAGTGAGTTGTGAGTAGTTTAAGATGTGTCTTGTTTGAGTCTTTCTATGTATATGTAAGAGAATGATAATCCCTTTCTTCATGAATAAGTACGAGCGTTAGCGAGTACTTATCATGAAATAAGGGATTATCATTCTCTTACAAACTTAGAATATTGTAAAGTGCTCAAGGCTCAAATGATCTATTCAAGAATTAGTTTCATTGTCAGTGCAATGTTTATAATTGATGCATGACTTCCTTTTTCGGCATGTCATTTATGGATAAGTTTTAGTGATGTGAGGACTTTCTTATCATTTGGGAAATATTAAAAAAAAAAATGCGTTATAGATATAAGTTGACACACAGTAGAAAGAAAAGGTATGAATTGTATGTTTCCTGATTGTGAGTATGAATGTAAATCATGTAATATTTTAGTGAGGAATTATCCTGTTTTATTTACAGTTTAAATCAATTAATACATTAGAGTTACAACTAAATTTTATTTCACAGCCAATAATTTGGTCCGGCTTTTTACATCAAATACTGTTTCATTATGTCAGGGAAATGCTAAAAAAATAATGCCCTTAAAAGTTTTTAATATGTTTAAAATTTAATTCCTGTTTTTTATCGGAATAATTGTATTGGAAATAACTATTTTCCCCAATCTCTGATCAAGTAATCAAAGTTTTGGAAAGCTAACGATTTAGGTTATTTTTTTATCTGAAAGATTTTTTTTCTTTTTTTTTGCATTGCTTTGGTAATGTTTAATTTTATAGTAATTTGAAGTTATTAATATTTTCATAAAAAAATTCACCGTACCAATTTTACTGCACCAGTAAACTTCAACTTATTTTGAGATTTTTGTTTGTTTCACAATTCAACTTTTAGTCAGTTTCAATCACTTTGTGATAAAACCTTTCAATCTGATAAATGTGCTTCGGGGCAGTTGTAACTCATTTATAGAAACTCTTTGTTTTGAACTGTAAATAGACCCAAATAATAGGATAATCCCTTTCTAAGAACATGATTTACATTCATTCTTCACAATTAAGAGGCACCCAATTCTAAAATTTCATTGGTCGAGAGTACTTTGCTATATTCTAATGGTTGGATATTTCTAGATTCCTTTGTTTTGTGGTTGGATATAGTTTTCCCGCCTAAATCTATATTGTGACCAGTGGGTTCTTTGTCTTCATATAGTTTAGACATATTTTCTATTCATAGAGTTTGAGAATATTGCAGATTCTATATTTTTGTGACAGATATATATTTATAAGGTAGATATTCTTCCTTATTACCCTTTTCCCAGTTTTTACCCATTTTTGTGTGAACAAGCATGAGTGATAGATTTATGAAAATGTGTGTCTTTTGGTACATTATGGTATTCATTGTTAGATAATTTTAAAGTAGTACTTTTGTAATTGTGATATCCTGCAAGTATAGAAATCAGACCTTTTATTTGAATAACTGATAAAGCATATTGTGTTCTGTAGCTTCAACATATAGTTTGAAGATTTTAAAGATTCAGACAGTTATAATATTTTCATTGTTCATAGAGGTAAAAATGTTATTACTTTATATTTTTCAGATATTATTTACTACTGAATAAGAATATAGTTACTGATACATATTACCAGTATAAAACCTGGTCCCATAGACAGGTAATTACATGTTCTTGTATTTGTCTTGTCATATGGCAAAATCAAAGGTACTTTATTTAAATCATTTGCACCACGTGACTTTGTCCCTTTTGATCAAATTACTTCCCTTAGCTTAAGATTGAAAATATAATTTATTATAGATTTGCGGATAATCCAGTCCTTTTCCGTCATGTATCTAAAACTAATGTATCTTTAAAAACTTCCTTTGGCGGATATTTACAAAAATGCTGTGTAATTCTAAGGGAAAATGCTTAAAATTTGACTTTTTACGAAATGGGAAGGTTGAAATCATCATGTTTTTAAAAGAATTTGGCCGAAAACTTAAGAAAGCAGGTAAGTTAAAAGTTATTTAACTTTAAAATTCAACCTACAAGGTGTTTCCCTATATGCGAACAAATCATGAACAATATCTTCTTGCATGTGTATTTCTGTTTTGAATCTTGCTATTTTACGATTTTACGTCATTTTATTTGATCTTATATAGCAATTACACAATGGTTACGCTTCCGATTTTTAAACTAAAAAGGCCGAAAGATTTCAGAGTGGACAATGTCCATTTGTACACGGACAGAAGCCTAAAAACATGTACAAATCACCTATATGCGAACAAATTGTTCATTCGACATAGGTATTTGCATATTGGCATTTTTATTAAAAGGGCTTATATAATCCTATTGTAATGGCTGCCGTCATGATAAGGCAAAATGGCCGCTATGCAAATTAGCAAATTACCCCAAATTTTGCCATATGTGTCATGTCAGTTTTGAATGTATTGTTCGACTGGTTGTATTTTATGTTATTTTTCAAAAACACTCTAGTTTCAAAATTAACTACCAATCGTATTAAGCAAAGACCATTTTGATAAGCTACATGTATTTTTGTATACTTGATTCAGTCTATTGTATTGTATTGTATTGTATTATCTTACTAATAATGTGTATATGTCTATGTTTATTTGTGTATAACTTAATGTCTATTTATGTCTATTTATGTACTTGCAGGGTTGTTGTTTATACTGCCGTAATAAAAGTATTGACATCATCTAGTCTGCTCTACCGCCCACTGTACCCCTACTAGAAATTGGCGCCTAACGTAAATGGCATGATGCAAACTGTGTAGACCAGTGATTTTGAGGGCAAAATTATTTAGAGGCCAGAGGTGAGACTGTGAGTTCGGAATTTCGTCGACTATAGTGTATTCTACAGTGCACAAAGTTGGAATTTACCTTTGTCTATTTATAGAATTGACAGTCCGTAATTTGACCTTATAGAACTTTCGGAACAGAAACAACGTGGAATGAAAACAGACAATTTATCAACAAACTTTGGTTAATAATTGGTAAACTTTAACACTTATTATAGTATTAACTGTTTATATTATTTGTATTATTATATTATATTGAGTGCCAGTGTCACGAGTAACTTACTCGTGCATATTTATGTGTGTTTTGTAATTTACTTGTACTTTTGTGACTGGAAAATATTGTCCATGTTTGTATGTGTGTATTTTCAGTCTCTATATTGTGTGATATTTGGTTAACAGTTATATTTGGAATTTTTGTGTATATGTATACTTCATGTAGGGTCTAGGTAAAGTTGCTTAGACTTTAATATATTGTTTGTGATTGACACACATAAAGTACAAGGATAGATGTGAGTTAGTCCTTACCCCCTGGCCCGTCCCCCCTCACAGTCCACTTCCGGGTCATTATATAGGTCATTCAGGTCATAAGTTAGGACTTCATTGTGCTTTGTTGTTTTCATTCCTGGTTTACGCACAGTGATATTTTAGCATATATTTGATTGATATTTTAGTTACTCTACTAGTTTTGAGTTTAGTTTACATTGATACGGAGTTTCTCAGGTTGACCCATTGTATTAAAGTACTTTGATACACTTAGTTATTTTTATACAACATATGTGTATTGTGACCCCTTGAGTGACTTCTACTATTGTCCGATATTTATGACTATCCTTGATATTTACATACATATTTATATATAGCGTTCGTATACATATATTTGACTTTAACTTAGCGTGCGTTATTTTGTCGTGCGATTTTTGTGTCATATCTTTTCGTGCGCATAGTTTTGTCAACATTAGATGTCTGTCAACAATTTATTTAAATACATAAGAAGACCGTTGAAACATCCCCTATTTAAATCTTCATACTTAATGCCTGTCATACTTGCTGACAGCAAAGGATCATACTTGCAATCAGAGATTGTAACTCAATACGAAGGAGAAATCAAATGGTATTTTAAAAAAGGAGCTTCATTAAAGGAAGCAATTATCTTTCTTCAACAAAACATACAATCAGTTATACAGGAATTTGGAGACATATCTTTATATGTATGGCTTGGAACATGCAATTTAACCTCTAAATCTATTAAAGTATACATAGCCATTACTACATTTAACCACAACCAAGTCATTGAAAACATTTTGCAAGAAGTTGAACTTATTATTGAACTTTTCAACAAATATCCAAAAAATAAACTCACATTTTTGGAAACTTCTCTATACTCCATTGTTGAATGGAACAGGAATAAGAGACACCCTGATATTACTGAATTTTATGAACAGGATATTGAACTGGAGGAGCAAATAGTTCAACTTAATAAACAAATTAAGCTGATTACCAACCGTATTGGCAGCTATTCGCCAAAATTTTCATCAGATTTAGCTTGCAATACAAAATACAAGAAAGGATTGTGTCATAATAAGTTAACACAACGTCATCATCATAATTTTAATTTATACAAGGATGGTATACACACAAAGAAGTTATTAGCAGTAACTTGGCTCAAAAAGATAACTGAGCAGATACTAAAGGATTGTTGGCATGAAACACACAAAATTATATTGCTTTAAAACTGTATAGTAGTCAGTTTGGGTTTCGCCAAGCTAAACTACTTCCACAAATACAGTATAGTTAGTAGTAAGTTTGGGTTTCGCCAAGCTAAACTACATCACATCACAATTTAAGCATTTAGTTATAATATATATGATAAAATTGAGAATGGAAATGGGGAATGTGTCAAAGACACAACAACCCGACCATAGATAAAGGCAACAGTAGTATACCGCTGTTCGAAACTCATAAATCGATAGAGATAAAAACAAATCCGGGTTACAAACTAAAACTGAGGGAAACGCATTAAATATAAGAGGAGAACAACGACACAACAAAAAAAAACAATATTAAAATGTAACACACACAGAAACGAACTATAATGTAACAATGGCCATTTTCCTGACTTGGTACAGGACATTTTAAGAAAAAAATGGTGGGTTGAACCTGGTTTTGTGGCATGCCAAACCTCCCGCTTTTATGGCAATGTTAAAAATAACATTAAAATGACAACATTACATGACATGACTACAATACAAATAAATGGGAGAACATATAGGACAAAGAAACACACGAATAATAGCTAACAAAAGGTACTAGGTTTAAAATTTAATACGCCAGATGTGCGTCTCGTCCATACATGACTAACCAGTGACGCTCAGATGAAAAAAGTTTGAGAGCCAAAACAAGTACAAAGCTGAAGAGCACCGAGGACCAAAACTTTCAAATAGTTGCGCCTAACACGGCCAGGGTTTTCTGCCTGGGACAAGAAGATCCTTATTATTTAGTATAATTTATACTTTAGCAAACAGCAAACATAGAGCAGACAACAGCCGAAGGACACAATGGGTCTTTAATGCAGCGAGAAACTCCCGCACCCGGAGGCGTCCTTCAGCTGGCCCCTAAACAAATATGTATACTAGTTCAGTGATAATGGACGTCATACTTAACTCCAAATTATACACAAGAAACTAAAATTAAAAATGATACAAGACTAACAAAGGCCAGAGGCTCCTGACTTGGGACAGGCGCAAAATGCGGCGGGGTTAAACATGTTTTTTTGAGATCTCAACCCTCCCCCTATACTTCTAGCCAATGTAGAAAAAAACAAACGTACAACAGTACGCACAGTAAATCTCAGTTTAAGAGAAGTCCGAGTCCGATGTCAGAATAGGAAACAAAAGAAAATAAACAAAATGACAATAATACATGAATAACAACAGACTACTAGCAGTTACTGACATGCCAGCTCCAGACCTCAATTAAACTGATTGAAAGATTATGTCTTCATCATATGAATATCAGGCACAATCCCTCCTGTTAGGGGTTTAGTATTGTACCATCATAAAATATATGAGAAGAACATAACCCGTGTCATGCCAACAACTGGTTTTAGAATAAATATGTTTAATTCCGATGCAAAGACCCTATAAGTGAATCAATATTAAAGCTAAAAAATGCAATCTTTAATGACCTGACAACTGTATCGTAACTATATCCCTTCTTAAGTCTGTTTAAAGGTTTTGTTAGCTTTTGAGGTGAATACTGACATTTTTGTGCTTTGTAAAGAATATTACCATAAAAGATTGGATGTGAAATACCCGAACGTATAAGATGTCTGCATGTTGAGTTATATTTACGAATGATGTCCTTATACCGATGATAAAATTTAGTAAATGTTTTGACTAGTTTATGATATCGAAAACCCTGGTGTAATAATTTTTCAGAAATACATAAATTTCTTTCGCTAAAATCTAATACGTTGTTACATACACGAGCGAATGAGACTGCCTGATATTTGAAACATTTCTACTATTTTGAAACTTTGTTTTTGTGTTGTGGAGATCTTTGTACATTACAACTAATAACATGTATAAAGGGAGATAATTTGAAAATAACAATAATAAAAGGTTGAAAACAAATCAAATGAAAAAAATTAAAGGGAGATAATTTGTCCTTATCAACTTTATTTTTTTTCTATATAACATGGCTAGTCCATTAGAGAACTCCAAGGCAGATACACTTCAAAAAGAGGAAGAGTTAACACTGGAAGAAAGAGCTGTGTTATTAAGTGCATTTGATAAACTTGGTGCTAAGCCAAAAACTACCTCCACCACTGGACTTTAGATATAGTTGGCACAAATGGCTGAAGCAAGTAAGCAAGTTGAGGAACTCAAGAAATTTGAAGCAATCAAGCAAGCTAAAGCAACTAAGCAAGCTGCAGCAACTAAGCAAGCTGAAGCAACTAGGCAGGCTGACACCACTAAGCAACCTGAAATAAAACCAAATATTGAAATATTAAATAGATTAGGAACTACTCAATCTATACCAGTAAATACTACAAATGTAACATCCTCAGTTACATCTAATCCAGCTGAAATGTCATCTGGAAATGTTCAAACACTAACATCCTTACTGAATTATACACCAAGAATATCGACATTCTTTGGTGAACCGGGAAAAGGAGAAGCTACATATGATTTATGGGGTTATGAAGTGAATTCTTTGCGAAAAACAACCTTTGCACCACACATTGTTGATTTATTAATAAGGCGTTCTTTGCGAGGTGAAGCTGAAAAAGTAGCTATGCGATTAGGTCCAGAGGCTTCATTAGACCAACTCTTGAATAAACTTGAAGTAAATTATGGATTGTCTATACAACATGACAAATTAATTGAGGAGTTTTATGGTGCTAAACAAAAGTCAAATGAAGATATTACGGCTGGGGCTAACCGATTAGAAGATCTTTTATATAAAGCAAGTAAACAGAAACTAGTAAGGCCTGAAGACATTAATGATAAGCTATGTTCTATGTTTTGGAGTGGTTTAGATCCAAAACTGCCTGAAACTTCAGGACATCTTCATTTCATGATCAAATATTTTGATAAACTTAAGTTGTCCATGCGTGAACAAAGGAAGCTAGACCTCAACCAGCCAAAATGATGACACAAACTGGAACTGATGATAACACCCAGTCAGAATTTACTTCAATGATACATCAACTAATTGCTGATGTAAAAGATCTTAAAGAGAGAGACACATAATACAGCAACAAATACCAAAACAACAGTAGAGGTGGTTCAAATTTCAGGAATAGCAATACTAATTATAGAGGAAATAGATCAAATATCATAATCAAGTTAATAGATCAAATTATCAGAACCAAGGAAATAGATCAAATTGTCAGAATCAAGGACAAAGATCAAGCTATCAAAATCAAGGACAAGGAGCAAATTACCAAAACTCATCATATGAAAATAATGCATCAAG